CGGGAGAGGTTTTTGCTGCTCACACAAAAGACAGTACGGAGGGAACGGGTTTCGAGTGCACCTCTCCCGCTTCTCAGGCACTGTCAGCATTTGATGAGTCGCCAGAAGACTACGTGAATTTCTCAGCCATTCGAGATTTTGCCGAGTGAGAAGCAAGTGAAATGCCGATCCGTTCAGCGCGAGGACGAAAGCCGCGGCTCAAGCGTCGGCGTCAGCGTCCACGCTAGATGCGCGCCTGGTATACTTCGGCCACCTGTGGCGCCAGCTGATGGCCGACGGGTGGAAGTCAAAGCCACCCACCGCACTGTCGAATGTTTAAAACCGTCAGGCAAAGCTCCTGCAGAGAGGGGAAACATGTTATATTGTACGGGCTGTTGCTGCTGTATTACTATGGGTCATTTCTAACTTGCTGTTATTATGGGTCATTTCTAGCTTGCTGTTCTCCTTCAGGCTCCGCAAATACTACAAGAGCCATTTTCTCGGACTTCTCGACCTGGCGCTCGTCAACGCGTATCTGACGCACAAGGAGGCGAGCCGTCCAGCGGTCGTGCAAAGTGTGCTTGCTATATCGAAGCGAGCTCAAAAAGACATTTCAGACGACCCATTACTGCCCGGACTGCTCCAACGGCGACGCTAAGTTTTACCTGTGTGGCAAGGCACGCAGAGGTGGCGACAGAACCTGCTTTCAAGTGTGGCATGAAGACTTCGCGTGCTGTGGCGCGCCTCCAAAACCGTCGGAGTCCGCAAGAAGGCTCGCTGTGAGATTCTCCGCGAAGACAATGAGAGTGCTGACGAGGCGGCCTATCCGTGAATGCGAAAGAGCGCCATACGATGGGTAATTCTAAGGATACTGTTGTTTGTTCATGAATAGTTGTTGCTTTTTCTTATTTTCTGTCGGTAACTCCAAAAAACGATGTATTTGCCGTTGCGACGAATAGTTATAATAATAGTTGTTTTCGTCGGCAATGGCATATCTATTTTTCCGTTGTCGACGTTAAGTTTATTTTTATTCTGACTTTTTGTTTATTTTTATGTGAGGGCCAGCCCAGCGGGAGGGCCCTCCTTAGTTTTTTCCCAGACGATGAGTGTGTTCATTGCTTCATAAATTTGACGTGCTTTACTATATGCTCTTTGTCTGTTCCTCTTTTAGCATGTCAGTCATTGAAAAGCCCCGCTCTATGTGTGCATTTGCTTGCGTTTTCCCGTATTAATTTTTATGTACACTCATACAAAGTCGTAAGTGTCGGTGTCCGTGCCGTTTGGGTCATCCTTACGTCGTATGATATACGACATAGTGTGTTAAAACCTTTGAGAACGTATACCTCCCATCGTGTTGGATAGGCGAGTGGAAGATATAACACCATACAAACGCGCTGGTAAAAGCTACGCCGTAAGTTATGACGTAAAATTAGTGGTTCACGGGCTCATTGAACGGTAACAGAGGGGTTAAATATAAAAAGTGTATGCGTGCACAACACAATGCCAACACCACATTCGTGTGCACCACAACATAGAACAACCAACATCAGCAACATGCCGGCTGATGCGGAGCTGTCGGCGCAGCAGGGCGAAGAAGCTGAGCCTACGGCCAAGTACAGCACTTCTCCACCACGCGTTAATGGGCGTTGCTGCGTGAGATTTGGTCGCACGCGCGTACTGTGCTCCGTGTCCGACCGCTACGGCTACTTTCCAACGACTTGCCACGTCGGGCCTCACTGGGGCTGCATGTTGGTTACATACTGCCTGGCGATCGGCCCTGCCTTCTTTTTCTTCGCAGACGACATGATACTGGGGCTCAAGGTGGCATTGCTCGTGTCCATCTGCCTCACCACAATATCGTTCACTATGGTGGCGTGCAGCGACCCCGGCGTCGTGTTCCAGGACTTGGAGGTGGCTAACGACTTGCATGGAGACATCGAGACTGGCATCATTTGCGGTACAGGCGCACTCGTATTCGTATCCGTCTGTAGCGTCTATTTAGCGTTAATTTGGCTGCTTGTGTGCAGCACAGTGCGAGGTCCGACGACCGCTAAACGCGTCCCATTGCTCCGACTGCGGCGTCTGCGTCCGAGAGGTGCGTTTTGGTATTGAAAAAGTGCATAGATTGTGTCACTGACGTGGTGGATGATGGCAGTTGGATCACCATTGCCCGTGGACTGGCAAATGCGTCGGAGAGCGCACGATCAAGTGGTTCTACGTGTTCCTGACCTTCATCTCGCTGCACTGTATGCTCATCGGTGCCGTCTGTCTCGTTACTTTCGTCGCTAGATAATCAGATGCGCCTTGCGCGTTATCAGAAATTCGACCCAATTGACAAAAGTTGCTCGTGTTGCTTGAACATCCGCCGCGTCATTGTTTTTTTCTTTCTCTTTTGACAAACTTTACGTGTATTTGTGGCTGCGCACTAGCGAAACAAAAAGTTCTTTAAAAAAAAGGAAGAAGAAGGACTATTTTTTGTTTCGACGTCTACAGCTCGTCCTTCTCCGTCTTCTCCTCCTCCTTCGTCTCCTCCGCCTCTTGAGCGGTCTCGTCCTCAGCCTCATCCTCGTCAGCCTCGTCGGCGTCTTCCTTCTCGGCCTCCTTGGCCTTGGCTTCAGCCTCCTTCTTGGCCTTCTCCTCGTCCTGGATCTGCTTCTTCTTAGCAGCCATCGCCTCCGTCTTGGCCAGAACAGCCTCCTCGTGGGCGTTGAACTCGTCTTCGCTGTCCGTGACCAAGATATCGTCGAACAGAGTGCCGCTCTTGACCTGCCACAGCTCGAACCCAATCGCTCCAACATTCTTGGCGACGTTGTGCATAGCCTCGTCCTCAAAGTAGTCCGGGTTGTCGATCAGCGGGTGCTCCCACTCGCCCTTGTAGTCTGGGTTGTCGATCATCTTGGGCTTCCACTCGCCCTTGTACTCCGGGTTCTCGATCATGGCCGGCTCCCACTCTCCGTCGTCCTCGTCGTCCCAGTCCTCGGGCTTCTCAGCGTCCGGGTCGGGGATGGTCTTGGGGGTATCGTCCCAACCCTCGGGTTTCTTGTCTGCCGGGTCCGCGATCTGCTTCTCGTCCACCCAGTCCTTGGGTTTGGACTGCTTGGGGTCCTTAATCTGCTTCTCGGGCTGGAACGGCCAGCTCTTGGCCAACGAGCCTTTCTTGATGCTCTTACCGTCAATCTTGACTTCGTATGTGTCGTCCGGCTTCAGGACAAACGAGTACAAGTGCGCGTCCGTGTCTGATTCCGCGCGGATCGTGTCCTTGTGGTCCATGTTGACGGCCTCCTCGCCCGGACGAGCGTAGTTGAGGATCGCGTGCGTCTTCTTGGTGCTTCCGCAGATATCGGGGCCGAACATGACGGCGTAGGGCGAGTCGCCGCCGAAATTCGCCTGGTCCACGTCGGCAGGGAGCAGCTTAATGTAGGCACCGCCGCAGTCCAGCTTCTGCTCGTGCTGCACCAGGTACGAGAGGTACAGGTCCTTGCCCTTGTTGTCCAGAGGCTTGTCGAACTTGGCCGTCAGCGCGTAAAAACGAGCGTCCTCGCTCGTCTTGATGGCCTTGTCGTCCTCTGCCACGTAGTGCTTACCCACCACCTGCTCGAACTTGCCCACCTCGGCCGCGGGCTTCCACGTCGACGCCACCCAGCGACTCTCCCAGTCGGCGTCGTCGAACGTCTCGCGAAAGATTGTCTCGGCCTGGGCCACAGTCGCAGCCACAGCGGCCAGAGCCACCACCAGCTTGGTCAGCATCGTAAATGTATGAAGAGTGTTGGTCGGGTCGTGCTAGATAGCGCAAATTCTCGAATGCCTGAATGAAGGCCTTCAAGTCGGCGGGGTCGGATCGCCACGTGTACATCGAAGCGCACTAAGTTCGAAAGACACGTGGACTTTGGACTGTTCTAGATTGGAATAAGCAACACGTGGTTTGAATAGGGTAGAGCAGGTTATAGCATGGTAGACTTAGCTAAGGAGAGGGGTTTGATCGCTGCAAATTATTAGCTATCAAAAGCAACTATATCCTACAAGCTGCGATTTAACGACGGGCACTGTACTTGGCTATCAAAGGGGCCACGTGGCTGTTGTACACAGCTTTTACACAACTTCAACCACTTGACCAACACTCTTCATCATTTGACACGGATTTGTCGGTCCGCCGTTCATTTCACACTTATCGATTCTCCAGTCGTCATTTTTAACGGTTTTCGTTGAGGGGAGTCAACGTAGCGACATTGGCTGTATATATCTTTGCAAACTCCATTATTAATAGTATTGGATGAAAGATTGAGCTACGTCATTCGCGTAGAGGAGATTTACCGTTATCATGGGAGGACAGCTTGAAGAGCTGTATGGACATGCCGAAAAGTCTGTCAAATCCTCGTCGACCTTTATTCACGACATTGAACTCTGCTTTGGCGTGTGCTACTTTAATTAACAGTAAGCTCACTGTCAATTTCGGGTTTGGAGGTGGAGCTCAAAACAGGTATCATTCACCTCGAGTGTGGTCATGGCTAATTCGCTTTTGTTTTTGTTGGTATCTTGCGTTCAAATTAAACGCTTGCATCCTACCCAATCTGCATTTAGTGCTTTCTTCCGCGCACTTTAGCGCACGAAACAGGATCTTATTTTGCATGGTGCTGCAACTATGTAAGGAGCCTTTTGAAGACTGTAAGGTGTCTTTTTCTTTGCTTTTTAAGAAATGACATCTTGCAAGTTTCATAGTACTAAGTTCTTACTTAGTCTAAGCTTTAATTGTCAAGAATTTTGCATACAGTACCAGAACTTGCTTTGGAGAAAGTGCAAACTATTGTTGTAAGTCGATTGCATGATGCAGCAGTATGCACAATACTGTAAAATTGAAAATAAAAAACTAATACATGTAGCTCTAAGAGAAGCATACTACTATTTTGCAAAATACTACTAGATGTGATGTCCTGTGCTCGATGCGCCTTACTATACTTTAATATTTTTGATACATAAGTTCATGAAGTCGAAGAAGCAGTAGTACTATTAATAGTAGCAGTTACTAAATGTACTAAGTAGTACTGTAGTAGTAGAAGGCGAAGGAAGAGGATTTCTTTTTGGACAGGGCGAAGATGCACAAGAGCCACATATATAACCTGTGCATACGCTAAGCACTCTGCCGCAATACACGTTAGGTTTATGAATTCTCCGTCACCCCAAGTCTACTACGAGCAGTTCTCGCTCGTCTTAGAAGTTGATAGGCTTGTCGAACGCCGCCAGACACGCCTCCTTGAAGGCCTCGCTCAGCGTCGGGTGGGCGTGGCACGTGCGCGCCAGGTCTTCACTAGCAGCGCCGTACTCAATGCCGATCACTCCCTCCGCGATCATCTCGCCAGCGTTGCCAGCAATGATGTGCACTCCCAGCAGCTTGTCCGTCTTCTTGTCGGCCAGCACCTTCACCAGACCGTCCGCCTCAGCGATAGTACGAGCACGCGAGTTGGCCATCATGGGAAACTTTCCCACATTGTACTCGATTCCCTCGGCCTTGAGCTCCTCCTCCGTCTTGCCCACCGACGCGAACTCGGGGAACGTGTAGATGACACCAGGGATGGCGCCATAGTTGACGTGGCCGTGCTTGCCGGCAATGTTCTCCACACAGGCGATGCCTTCCTCCTCGGCCTTGTGAGCCAGCATGGCGCCCTTGATCACATCGCCGATAGCGAAGATACCGGGCACCTGCGTACGGAAGGCGTCGTCCACCTCAATGCGGCCGAGTTTGTCCGTCTGGATGCCCATTTGCTCCAATCCGAGACCCGACGTGAACGCGCGACGGCCAGTGGCCACCAGAACAGTGTCGCACTCAATAGAAGACGCGTCGCCGCCCTTCGAGGGCTCCGTCGTGAGCTTCACCACGTCTCCGTTCACTTCAGACGCCGTCACCTTGGTGTTGAACTGGAAATCCAGTCCCTGCTTCTTCAGCAGCTTGGTGAACTCCTTGACAGCCTCCTTGTCCGAACCGGGGCAAGCAGCGTCCAGGAACTCCACGACCGTCACCTTCGCGCCAAGACGCTTGTACACAGAGCCGAGTTCCAGGCCGATGACACCGGCACCGACCACCACAAGGTGCTCCGGGACGCGCTTAAGCTCCAGCGCACCCGTAGAGTCGATGATCTTACCGGCGGCGTTGTCCACAGGCACGGGGGGGAGCGGCGTCACCTCGGAGCCCGTGGCAATGATGATGTTCTTGGCCTTCACCGTCTCGTTGCCCTTGTTGTCGTTCAGAGCGACCGAGATCTCGCCCTGAGCCGAAATCTTACCGTGTCCCTTAATGTATGTCACCTTGTTCTTCTTGAACAGCGACTCAATGCCGCCAGTCAGAGTCTTAACGGCTTTTTCCTTCGACTTCATCATTTGCGGGAAATTGGCCTTAACTTCGGGAGCGTCAATGCCGTAGCTCTTGAAGTCGTGCTGAGCCGTGTGCAGCAGGTGCGTCGAGTGCAGAAGCGCCTTGGACGGGATGCAGCCCACGTTGAGGCACGTGCCGCCCAGTTTGCCGCGGGATTCGATACACGCAGTCTTCATGCCCAACTGTGCGGCCTTAATAGCGGCCACGTAGCCACCCGGACCGCCACCGATCACCACGACATCGTAGTCGGAAGAGGAGGAGAAGGCGCGCGCAGTCACAGACGAGCGCAGCGCCACGGAGCGGCGCGATAGCGAAGCTACGTTGCGCATCATTAAAACGGTGATCTGGTGTCGGGGGGAGCGAGATCAGAAGTGTTTTTGTTGCTTGGATGGTAGAACGTTGCCGTACTTAGCACAGAAATTGGATGTGATTGGATAAAACTTAAACGAGTTGATGGATAAGGAGTCGGCGTCGACGATGTGATTGGATGCACGAGTATCGGTGTGGTACAGTGTACCGTTCACAACGAGAGCAAAAAATAGAGGCCATCGATCATTCATGGATATTATTAGTGTAATTATAATTTCTAGCCCTAATAAATTTTTGTTTGCTCTTACTAAGAGCAAACAAAAATTTAAGAGCCTCTTAGGCCCCGTAGTTTTGGAGATGGAAATTTTAAGATATTAATACTTATCAAAAAATGCTGGATACTATCCAGCCAGGACACCTGTGGGACCTAAAGAGTGAAGCAAATGAATATGCTAACTGAAGATTATGTGGGCCAGGATGAGACTGGGAAAAAATGTACTCGTCTAATCTACCACAGGTCAGCTATGCGCACAACACTATTCCAGACTAATAGGGGGTTTCAAAATTAACGCTTTTGGTATTAATTTTAGCTCCATACGGTAAAAAAATCCGAGCCATTTTACCGGGTACCACTGTACTTTGCCAATCCAAAATCCATCACCTCTAGAGGTGATGGACATCAAAATGTCCTAGGTATTTTGGTATCGACTCGATGCCATCGAGACGAATGGCCAGGGAAGGATCAGCAGCAGGAAGTCGATACCTTGCCTTTCTGCGAGGGAGGCCCTGCTGTCGGCGCCAGCTTTACCAGCCTTTCCTGTTCAAAGTGCTCGACCCTCGGGTCAGCGTATTTGTATGCAACGCAGTCGTGGATTCCAACGCAAAAGGGGGAGTGAGATTCGGTCTTACTCTTTCTATCCTTCCTATCTTTACTGTCTTCCGCGTGGAGCGCTCACAGCCTCACGTTTTCCACTTCATATGTACCACGCTCCATGTAACGGGGTAAGAGATACCGCTACTAGCTTACACTATAGTGCGGAGGAAGCTCGCAATAATAAAACCAAGTCTTAGGTTTGTGTCAAATTCAACTCTGATTTATTTAGGACCAGGGCGGCTACCCCTGGCCTCGTGTGAACCACTCAAACACATGTCTATATCTGATTGGTCAATAAGTGAGTCTGGCTCCTCACTATCAACCAATCAGATGATGACACTTTGGCACACGCTACCCGTGTGCCACTTTACCTACTTATGTAATAACTAAAGAAATATCTACCTACTTATGTAATTGGAGTTGGGCCCATTACACTCCAGATACAAACATCCGGCAGTGGCAGCTGCTCGTCGCTCTCTCGTTCAGAGTGATCCCGCGCATGCGCATCATCTTGCAACACTCCTCCTCGTAAGCACTGCATTATGCCGGTGTGCTATTGATTCTCAGTATATCATCTTCAGTGCAATCAAAAAGGAATCGGGTTCACACAAAGCCTGGCCGACATGTGTGTCTACTACTACAGGCGACACAGCCCCGAGGTGTGGGTAGTCGGTGTATATGTTGATGATATACCTTTGATCTAAACGGCATAGGAGGCCGTGAACGCATTCTTTGCGGAACTTGCTGACTTGTCTGTCAAGAACCTTGGAGAGACCAGGAAGGTTCTCGGGATGAGAGTCGTGTACGATGAGGTACGACATCTATCAAGAAGTCACAATCACAGAGATGTTGCATGGTTTCGGTATGGATATGGTGCGCGGAGCGCGCATGCCGATTGGGCAGAAGTGGAGTGATGAATGCGACTCCAAACTTGAAAAGCTGCCAGTCTCCGAAGAAACCGCGGTTGTGACGTGAAACAGTTTCAGTCGTTGGTAGGCAAACTGAGAGAAAACCCGCAGGCAATCACCATGCACCTGGACATATTTATAATGGTCCGGTTCATCCTCTCAGCCTTTCCGTTGCTCGCTGGATTGTGCGCCTCGCTGCGCTGTCGTGCGACCCCAGTTTTCTTGCAAAACAATTCTAGATGTTTGTACTCACCTCCGGAATCCGTGCGTAAGACGTAAATTCGGCAATCGAACCATTTCTCGAAGTAAACGAGGGACTCTTCGAGCTTTCTTGCCGCTCCATCTTTTGTCTTGGTGAGAAACACGCCACAATAGTTCGACTTGTGGTCGACAAAGTTTATCATATATATGTTACCCAGCCGGTCTTTTGGGGCATGGGTCTTTTAAGATCGGAGCAGATCACGCCTCCCACACGATCTGTTGGAGCATGCTCACTAGCGTCCTTGATCGATTGTCTGTTCTTCATCTGCTTGCCCTCGGCGCAAGTCAAGCAGCTCACTTTTCATCAATCGGTCAGCTCGATGCCGGAGGTTGGATCGCGTGCCAACCGCTCCACTACATCTTAGTTCGGATACCCGAGATACCAGAAAAAATGCCATGATCACGTCCGACGTGAGTTCACACTTCTTCTTGACCGTTCCACTTACAATCAGCATGTTCCGTCGTAGTCTAGCGTCAAAAGCCACACGTTGTCCATTCTTAGCGGCCATGATGCGTCGCCCGCTCTTATAGATCAGTGTGAAACCTTTTTCGTCCAATTTTCCGTATGATATAAAGTTGTGTACGACGCTCTCAGCGTGGTGCATGGCCGTAAACTTAAGTGTCTGCTCGGCACCGCATGCCGAGACGCTGAGTGTCATTGTGTCCTTCTTTCTGATGTGCAACGGCTCACCGTCGGGCTGCACACAAACGTCCTCGTACTCCTCCGCTTCGTCCAGCCAGGACTCGTCACTGACCCGATGTCTACTAGATCCACCGTCCAGGATCCATATTTCTTTGATCGCAGCCGTGTCTTCGTTTACAGCAAGTGTCATGTCCAGTTCCCGTCGCGTCCTCGCCCACGGTCCGGAAACGCTGCGCACAGATGACCAACTCGGATACACTCGTGGAATTTATGCGTCTCTCTAGCACGCGCCTCGCCAACTGCCCCAACAGCTCTTTTCCAAGGATCCGATGCCTCACTAGATCTAGCTTCTAGGCCTGCGCAACGTGCGCCAGTTCTTCGGTCTGCTGCAGGTAGTCCGTCTTGGTCGCGTCAACCTTGGCCATCAGTACGATGCGTAGATCAGCGGACGCGTACTGCACTATATTGTTAAGTGCAAGATAGTCGGCTTCGCCGCCGCATGCTTCGGAGATAGCGACCAGATGCATGAAGTGTTCCGACCAGCTTCATTTAGCGTCCTTTGGTGCAGTGAAATGTTTCATCGCCTGCGCAGGCGTGAAATTCGTCTTAAATGCTTCCAGCCAACGTTCCATATCATATTGCATCACATG